TTTTGTTGGTTAACTGAAACGATAATAGCACAAAGTGGCGCATATGTCAGTTGTTATGGTATTTTCACGAGCAGCACTCGCTTGATTAATTGGAGGACAAGAGGCGCAGTGTACCCGGTGCACTCGGGTATAGGAATGGAAAAATTATACAAATTGTATGTAAGCCTAATTAGTTGTGATTTACGAAAGTGTAATCACGTTATCTGTTAGGGAAGGTATATGTTATAAGATTTAATTCGTATTCATAGAGTATCCTTTGTGAACTGACTTCTTGTAATTCTCGATTATATTATTCCTTATTGCTTTAACTATTCCTATTGAAGAAACTATTGAAAGAAAAGTCAGCGAAAAATAGACTTGATTTCTATTCTATTTTTGCTTAGTCGAATACTTAGTCCAATTTTGCGAAACTAATTAGCCGGCTGATGGACAGTGGCTAAAAGCCCGGAAAAGCAAAAACTGTCAATTTACCAGAGATAGAGAAAGAATCAGACTGAGTAAGTGAGGGAAAGAGAGAGAGAGAGAGAGAGAGAGAGGGAAAAGGCGCATTACGTATACGTATTATAAATGCACGTCCCTATTTTTGTGGCTTTGTCAAGTGAACCACAAAAATCGAACGTCCTTGGGCCACAAATGCTAAAGACCAACAAAAAGAAGAAAATGAAGAAGGCAAGAAACAGAACTGAAGCAACTCACCCGACTAAAAACAATTTGCAGTCAAATAATATAAAGAGGAGGCATGGAGGACCAAGAAGCAGCAAGCGAGTTGAGCTGAGTTGAGTTGCCCTCAAGGAAGAAAAGAAAACACATCGCGTGACAGCACGAAACAAGCCAAAATGCGATGAGCATAAGGATCCTGTCTGCTTCTCCTGGACTAGATAACGGAAACGGAAGCGGCAGCAGCAGCAGCAGCAGCGATGAGGGAAGCAAAGTGTAGCAAACCGCAAGAAGCACAAGGGGAAAGGGTGGGGGTGTTGGCTGATGGTGCAACACGGCTGCCATAGAAAATGAGTAGAAAATTAACAAAACGCCAACCGCGCATAGATAAAACTGCACGTGAAGTGACTTGTGGCTGCACACAAGTCTTTCCTCACCAGCTCTACCTCAAACCAACCCCTCCCCTCCCATCCACTCCATCCCTTACTTGCACACTACCCGCCGCCTCCCTAACGTAAATATGCAGCGAGCTGTCAGCTTGCTTAGCCAGCGGCGACCCTGACGCTCGGCAAATGCAAATACTACACACAAATTTCCTTCTATTTCTCCTCATTTCTATTTCTATTTTTCTATTTGTCTATTTTTTTCCTGGTTTGCTGTACAAAATACTTAATAAAGTTACGCTTCTGCGCTAAAAGTGAGGTTAGTTCTTGTTGGTTTTCCACTGCTACTGCCAACACTATTTGTGTTGGGGTTAGTTCTGGGGCTGGTTGCCCCTGCTGCTTGTTGGCTGCCACTTAGTTCTGCTGTTTACCCAACGCGCAATGCAGGACAATTTCCTTCTTCTTGCAGGTCTTTCAAATCGATTGTCTGTCTTCCGAACTGCCCTAACTCCCTAACTCCCTCTTTGCCAAGCCAAGTTATTTGTGTGCAACTTATGCAAATAGTTTGTTTGCATTTTTCACTTGACATTTAACCTGATATCGGTTTTGTTTTGCGTTTTGTCATTGTTTTTTTTTCCTGCTTATTATCAGTGGTTATTGTTATTGTTGCTTGTCATGCCACAATTTATGGCTGTGCGTCAGTGTTGTGGGCGTGGCACTGCTGTTACCACCAGCACCACCAGCACCAGAGTTTGTAATGAATTATATTGATTGGCCAGCGAAACAGACCCGTTTATAATGCCTGTCACATAAGGTCGAAGGTCGGTGCAGCTAACTTGCTTTGTTTGGCTTTTTGAGTTGAGTTCTGCAACGTTTAGCATATTGATTTGGCAAGCTTAGCTCTGTTGTCAACTGAAAACTAATTAGCTCATTCAAGTGGTCTGCTTTCGAAAATTCCTCGTAATCAAACAGCAATTAGAACAGGTATTTTATTCAACAAGTTTCAATGAAATTCGCAGTATTGCATATTAAATGGAAGCCAATTTTAATCGCCATGAAAATTCCAAGTAAAACTCTATTCAGATGAAAATTCATAGTAAAACTGTTAGGCAAAAATTGTCAATTAAAATTGAGGGTAACTTGTCTTTAAGGACCTTCCTTTAAAAATGAACAATTTATAGGAAAAAAGGAATTCAAATTTAAATTAATATTTAATTACTTATTAAGTAATTAAGTTTGAATAATAGACTTAGTCAAACAAATAACTGAAGTGGAGCAAACCATTAAACTTAAGTATTGAGATCCTAAAGTAATCACAACTGAAGTCTTTTATCTGTTTAATGAGTACTTAAAATTCTATATTCAAACAGATTAGAATTCGCTAAGGTGCAGCTGCTTTAACAAGTCCAGTGCCGCCTATAAAGACTCATCAAAGAGTTGGGAACATTGCACTGCAATGCAATTGTAACTAACCAAGCAGAAAAGCACATCAAAACAGACACAAGCACAATCATCACAAACAGCGAGCAATGAGTAGAAAAAAAGCACACACATACAGAATTGTGTGGCGCCACAGTCTACGGCCACTTTTCAAAGCATCATGTTCATTATATGCCCAGTGAGATATGGTCCCCCTCTTCCACCACCTCGCTGTGTCTATGTCTATATCTGTGTCCAGGCCTAATTTACACGCCCACATAATGTGGCAAACAGATGGCCTGCAACTAGCGACTGGCAGCCGCCGGCGTCAAGTTCATTCATTTTGGCATTCATTGATAGGAAACTTTTGCCTTGCCACGACTCAGGTTGCTTGTGTGTGTGCCTTGCCATGCCACGACACGACACGCCAGACTTCCATGGGGGGCATGCAAATGCAAATGCAAATGCAGTGCAAACAACAGGAAGAACAACAACAACAAACCGACAAGTAGATAAATGCAAGGGACATTGCCACACACAAAGCCCAAAAGTTGGTCCAGCCAGCAGCAGCAGCAGCAGCAACGACAACAACAACAACAAAATATGACAGTGGACAATTTGGCTGCTGCTGGCCGAGTTATTGTGGCTCCAGCCACACAGAGAACGGCACTGCAACTGCAACTGCAAGAGCAACAGCAATCTCTGTGTGGCTGTAGCAGTTGCAGTGCCGTTGACACTTGCAACGTTGCTGTCACAGCAAATCAGAGACACACACAGAGCGAGAGAGAGAGAGAGAGGGTGGGGTGAAGGCGAGATTGCTCAGCTGGTAGATTTTCTGCAGTTTGTCGGCCTTTTGAAGTTGCGTCTGTTGTCTGTGGACCCAACTGCTGCTTTGTGGCAAATTGCACGACAACATTGCCGCCTCGCTGTCTGGCAGCAGCAGCAGCAACAACAAGCAAACAACAAACAACAAACTGGAAGCGCGTCGCACAACGTTTAATTTCATTTTTATTCAAAGTGAAATATAGAAATTAAAAATGGCATTTAACGCGCAACTTTGTCGACTGTCATAAAACGCGACATGTGCCATGACTGCAGCAGGCAAGGGGTATGGCGGGTGTGGCAAGTAAGTGTGCGTGTGTTTGTGTGTGGGAGTGGTGTGCTGCTGCTGCTGCTGCTGCTGCTAAGAGGTGCCAGGTGGTGCAGCTTCCATTTGATGTGGCCAAGGCGGTGGTGGGCGGTTGGTTTGGGCGTTACTCTGTTGCTGTTGCTGGCGGCTTCTGTTTTGCTGACTCGACGAGCATCATTAATGTTTGATGCTACTTGTTGTTGTTGCTGTTGCCTGTGGCAGCTTTGTCGCTGGCAATTACGAGCTTGCTGTCAAATGGCATAATGGCGAGCCAGCTAGGCATTAAGCATACGACACGTAATACGACGATGGTTTAAAGCCTTTGGCTAAGCAACAAATATCAAGTATACGACACATAGTATGTGTCTGCTGACAGCTGGCTTAAAGATGCAATAGTTTAATTAATGCATGCTTTGACAAATAATGCTAGCGTCATGTAAGACGAAATATGGCTTATAGGCAACATTATTTTTGAGTATAAAACGGCGCTTGAGCAAAAACTAGGCATTTCTATTTAAGCTAAAAGCAGACGCCTCTTCACAAACCTTGCCAAAGTACGCAATATATTCGCAATTTATATAAAAACAAACTAGAACTGCAAATGTTTTGTTTGGCAGCAATATCTCATTAAGATATTACGTATACGCCAACGGGCATGGCAAAGGCCATCAAAATACCTGGGCTTATTTTCGATTAACGAAGCTTATTTTAAATATATTTTATCAACGAAATAATAAAAAAATATGTATTAAATTGACAGGCAAATAAAATCCGTAATAAATATATGACATGAAAATTAAAATTAAAGCCATTTATGCTTCAAATAGTTGCAAACAAATGCCGACAACTTGTACATATTGTATCAGGTACACGCCAAACATATGTTGTTGAAACTTTTGTGTCACCTGCAACATATATATACACAGACACACACACACACACACATACAACAACGAAGTGTGAAAGCTTAGTCGTTGCTAAGCAAATTAAGAGTGTTTAAAAAATGTGTAAGGCAATTGATAAAGTTGTAAACAAATTTGTGTTTTTACACAAAAATAAAAACAAATTAAGCTCACCAGTTGGTTGGTGGAACTGAAGTTTTTCTACATTTATGAATATAAATTTGCAAGCTCTCTCTCCACATATACACACATATATATATATGGGCAATAAAAAGCACGTGTGTGTGTGAGTGTGTGTTTCGTGTGGGTGTGAGAGTGTGTGGGTGTGAGTGTGCGTGTAATAAGTGTAGTTTATGGACAAATGCAAATGTTGTATTGATAGAAATATATATATATATATAAATACATATATATATAGAGTATATATACATGTTTATGTATGTTTGTATGTTGGGTGCATGGGTACACTTATAGACTAATAAGAAATAGTAGTAAAAAATGTGAACGCACTTGGTTGAATCTCACCTGTGCTCAGGGTATAATCCCAGCTGGTATCTGACTCATTCTTATAAACATTCAACTTCTCCGGCTAGAAATAGTCATAAGAAATACAGACATATACATATAATAATTATATATAGTCAAGATGTGGAGCTTACTTACCTTGGCAAAATCAATTTTAAGAGTGCAGCAGCCGGCATAGATGTCGGCTCCATTGAGATTCTCGCGTGCACGTGTTGCCGAATCGAGATTATCAAATTCGACCATGGCCTGTACGCCATTCTTTTTGAAGATGACAATGCGCAGCACTTGGCCATGTGGATTGCAAATTTTATGCAAGACATCCTGCAAACGAAAAAAATGGAGAGGAAAACAATAAATAAAGAAGTCCGAGTTAACAGCAAATTGAAACGACAGCAACAACCAAAATAAAATAAATGAAAACAAATTACGAGCACTCCCAATTGTCATATGCAGCAGCCGCAACAGCCACAGCAGGCGCAACCAAACCATGCAGCAAACTCGACCACAAAAACAACCAGTTTTACTCAGCCCAAACCCAATCCCGCATTGTCCTCACTAATTAATATGCAAGCAGTGCACAATTGTTCACCAACACACCTCTGCATGAAATAAACACGCAACAAAAAAGTGGCTCTGAATGGGAAATCACGTGGACACATCAACACACACACACACACACACACACTCAAATAAATCACACACACACAGATACCCATATATATATTTATATAGACAAGCAGCCAATTTAAGCATGACCAATTTCCAGTCTGGCTTTTGTACCCTTGAAAAAGAGTTATTAAACTTGAGCAGGACATATGTATTGAACAACGGGATATCCATGTATGATAGCATAAAGCCATAATTCTATATATATATTTGTATAGTTGTATGTAGTGTGAGTGTCACTCATATTTGTATACAATATTATATATTTCCCAATAGGTAATAGATCGGAAATATATTTCAACCAAGTTTGATTTACAAAAAAAAAAAAAACATTGAATTTCAATTGGTAAAGTTGCGCTTCCGTTTCCGGCTTAACATCCTGGTTCTCCTGAACTGAACATAAATTAGAGATCAACAAAATTCATAACTTTGCATTAATTACGGAGTGAAAGATTTTATTAATGCACAAATTACAATTTTGCCCACATCTGTGATAGGCAAAGAATTTCGAGCGTATTTAATCTTCGTCAGTTGGTAGTTAACTGCTTTTTGGCTGCTTTATTGTGGCGCTCATAATTGGAATTTTTCGTTTGGTTGGCTTACAGTTTTCCGGGTGTATATTTTTGGGCAACTACCTCACATTCCCCGATCCACAACATTCACCGCGAATGCGCTTGCCGAAAAATTGTCGGCATTTCACTGACAGTTGGCGCAGCAAGCAAAACTCATTAGCATAATTTAATAAGCAGTTATTGTCTAGGGCCAAGTGCAAGAATTTCAGACAAGAGCCCAAAGAACATTTTCCAATTAACATTTATAAATTTTCGAAAATTACGTTAATGAGTTTTCAGAAGCCGCGAGCAACGTGTCTTAAGTCTCTTAACAATGAAAAACCTACAAAATACATAAATCTATGTATATATATACATAAACATATATTGAGAGAGAGACATTGGAGAGTTTGTAAATTTATGGCAAATTATAATGAGTTGCTCTTGGCATGAAAATTTATGGTAAATTTAAACAGCGAAATTCTTCGACTTCTCATTTCACTGCGCTTCTATTTATTTATATATTATATTAAAAGGTAGGGGACAGGACAGGACAGGAGGATGGCGGGTGGATTTAGGCCTGTAATGGGTTAAATGTTCAATTTGTACAAGTTTGCTTCAAGCGGTGTTTTGAGTGGGGTGTCGGGTGGCTCTGGTGGCTTGTTTCGCTTATTGTCTTTGGCCAAAGTTGAGGCACGTAAATCTTGTTGAGAGCCGAGGCTAAAATATATTATTTTGTTATTCATGAAATTCATCGATAAGTCGGCGGCAACAAATTTTGCACTCTTGTTCAAAATCTTTGCACAGATTTTCCAATAAGCAGGGGTTTCCTGGTGCGGGGCTATGGGGGTGTGGGCCTGTTTTGGAGGCGGTAATTGACAGCTGCTGAAGAATGGTTGGGCGTCAGTGTGGGGGTAGCTTGATTAAGTGGCTTATAAAGGCACTGAAGCCCATACAAATTCGTTCTTGTTGTTTTTTTTTTATGTGAGCTTAGCACAAAGTGAAGATTAAAAGCAGCCTTGAAAGCGGACTGAGGTTGAGGGTTGGAGGGCGACGGAAGGGGGCAGAGGTTTGTGGGTGTGTATTCAATTTGGTGCTCAACAAATTTGTTGAAATGTATTTATATTCAAATTGGGTTGTCTAAAACAGAATTGAAGGGACTCAGGCCAAGTACATAAATATTAATATATACTACACCAAATATAATCCTCATTATGCAAAATGTTATACATATAACTCGCAAGGATATAAATATTAAATTCTCCAGACTAAGACTCCTTTTACAATTTGAAAAGTAAAGTCTTTAAAGTAAATCCTATTTCATTTTCGGTTCCGTTGTTGACTTTTAATAATATCGTTTCCTCTTAAAGTGTGGAGTTGCGTTTCCAACTTTCATCAGCAAAGTGCCAGCTTAACAGACTGATATTTGGCACGCATCTTTGAAGCTTAACAAGTATTGCACACACTTCACATAAATGTATCAGTTGTTGAAGCACTCTCTCCCAGACATGTACAGAGATATATGCATAGCTGAGCGTTGAAATCACCAAGTCACTTTGCAGTTGCCTTGTCGACGACGGCCCTAGAGTTGAGTGTTTTTTTGCTATGGCAACTGAAGTTGGCTTATGTGTTAATTAGCGTGGCTTCAACACAGCTGTGGTAGGTAAAGTACTTCAGAGTCGTGCTTAATCCTCTCCAATTACCATCTAACATTTCTGGGGAAACTACAAAATGTTCTCCGATTACAAAAACTGACGTTGCCTGCTTCCAATCAAGCGTTTCCCATCCTTGGTGGCAATCCATTATCAGGCCAGTGGCAAAAGGTCACTCTCTCTCTCTCTCTCTCTCGCTCTCTCTCACACACTCTAAGAGGGTTATTGTGAAGGACGATTCGCATTCATTTGGACAACGGCACGCGCCACAATCATTTATTCATTCGTTCATTCACTCAATGTGCTTCTCTCATTAACAAGACTCATTTATTTCTATCTTTTCAGTTTTGCACTTTTCTCAGTTGTTGTTGCCCAATGATTGCGACATTTACAATAATTGCCGACATTTTGAGCGTCATTCGGGGCCAGGTCTAGACTGGCAGAGTCCTCCTCCCCCCGGACCACTTTCACGCAAACTGTAATAAATGCAGAATATAGTGAAAACTTGCCACTAGGCAACGTTGCAAGCTTGAAGCTTGCAACTTGCCATGTTTGTCAAGAAGTGAGAAGCATAACTATAAAGCGTACTGCGCACAAAAACTAATTAGAAAAGTTCTGTGTGAGAGAGAGAGAGAGAGAGAGAAAGAGAGAGAGAGGAAGAGGAAGGGGTAAATTTGTTTTTCTTGCTATGAAAATGCTGGCTGTGGACATCGCCAGCTGTCAAGTGTTTTAGCTGTGTGTCTTTTTGTGTGTGGCATCATTATTATTAATTAAGTAATATAATGCACACTCTTTTATGCTCGCTGTATGAGTGTGTGTGCGTGTGTGTGTGTGCTGGTGTGTGTGGGTGGTCAAATTAAAATGTGGCTCATAAAACCGCGCAAAAGCTGACACAAATGCACGTCCACAAAGGGGACATTTGACTGTCACAGTTGAAGTCTTTGCTGAATAAAATGTAATATTTTTCTAACAAAATGTAAGCATGGAAACTAAGTGGCATTTTCTGTGGGAGCGATATGATATATGTAGTTGTTCGACTTTGATCATAATCAAAAAAGTGTTTTTAAAATAGGAACTCATCTCTTAACCATGACAGCTATATCATATATAGAATAAACAAAGGAAGGAAAATATAATATTTGGCATACAAAGCGCTTCAGCCTCGACCAAGTTATGAAAGACATTGATGGACATTAAGGAAAACCTCACAGAATTGTTAATGTAACAAATTATAACCGGAAATGGAAAGCAAAAAAAAGCTCATCCAAAAGAGGAAATGATATTTTGAGGAATCATTTTAATGATAAATGTGTGGGTCTTAAATCATTCTCGCATATTTTCAACGTTTGCTTATTTATTTCAAACTCTCGCCGGTAGCTGCTGGCCATAAATTAAGCGCAATTTCGAAAATACAAATTCACGGAAAAACGCAAACAATAAAGGCAAATTAAAAGTATTTTCCATAAAACGCGGAAAACAACAAAAATAAAAACAGCACTCAATTTACAGTTGCTGGAAATAGTAGTTTCGTTGACCCTTCACTGACCCAAAAGAAGATGAAAAGTTGCTGTTGAAAATTAATAAGCAGAGCACAAGTCAGACAAAGGAAATAAAAGAACAGAATACAAGCGAAGGCGAAGAAAAACGTGTCAAAATGAAAATGAAAATGAAAATATTAATAACACACAATGCGCGAGCACCAGAAAAATATAGATAGATGGGGGTTGATAGGGGCGAGGGGTGCTGGTCAGTGGCAAACACGAAACAGTTATTTAAAAATAAGTGCTGCGGATACATTCGTACGTACAATTTTATGAGGCACTATAACTGAGCTATGCCCAGCCAGTTGCAATAGCCGCAAGGATATGGCATCCCTCCCTCTCTTTCTCCCTCTCCCTCTGACCCTACCCCACTCACCCCTCGAACAGTAGTGCAAAGGAGAAAAAAAAAACAAAAATAAATTAATATTTTATCTAGCGCACAGATTCCCGGGCATGCAATGCCACGCCCCTTTCCCTCTCTGGCCAGCCCACATGCATTTTGTTTGGCCATTTTATGGCCATCATCAAAAGCGCATTAAAATTTTAGTAAGGCAGCTTCAGGCGTTCTCCGCCCTCCCCCGCTCCCGCTCCACCCTGGGGGTTTATGCTGACCAGGCGTGCTAAATATTAAATCAACCACAACAACAACAACAATCAGGACAAAAGAGAGTGGGTGGCTCTGTTGCGGGGTGGAAGGTAGAAGGTGGAGTTGGAGGCAATGCAGCCAGCTCGCGCAAACAATATAAGCGGCTTTTCCAGGTTCGTCAAAGAGATCCGTACTACCTGCCCCAAGCCCAACCCCAACCCTCGACCCGCTCCCGCTCCCGCTCCCGTGTTTCATTGTATGGTGCTGATAAAAACGAAAGCACATTAAATATTAATAATATTGTGTGTGCTTAGTTCTAACATCA